GTCTGATTGTCTGCCCTTCAGTAGTAATTCATCCTGTAAAGCCAGTACAATAGTACAAGGGATTGGGATGGACTATGTACCAGTACCATTACAACAGGTCTTTATAAAGTCAAAGTTGGCTTCAGGTGTCTCTGATGTGGCTGTAAGACTGTCATTTCCTGTTGCTGGAGTTGATTTCATAATGGGAAATGATATTGCAGGGGACAAGGTGATTCCTATGCCTGTGGTGGTGGATAAACCGAAGTCCCTGTTAGAAGAAGATGACCTGTTGCGATCCCATCCTGATGTGTTTTCTGCTAGTGTCCTTACTAGGTCCCAGGCCAATAAGCTGGAGGACCTAAACTTGAGTGATTCCCTTTTAGGATCGGCTTTGATAGAGGACCGGCTATCAGCTGCCGACCCTTCTGAACTCGAGCCTGTTGATCTGAGCCCAACCATTAACCCAGAGGATCTTTCTCTACCCGTTTCACGTGAGTGTTTGAGCAAAGCTCAAAAAAGTGATGTAACACTTTTTAAATGTTTTGAAGGGGCACTCAACAAAGATAAAAGACTGTCACACCAGTTTTTCTTTGAGGATGGGCTGCTCTTAAGGAAGTGGGTTTCGCGACCAGACCTGCAACAGGAAGGTGATGGTGATTGGGGTGTTGTACACCAAGTGGTCATTCCAAAGGGCTACCGAGAAGAAATAATGCATCTGGCACATGACCACTCTTGGTCTGGACATCAAGGGATAACAAAAACTTACGACCGCATCCTTCAGCATTTCTTCTGGCCGGGCTTGAAGAAAGATGTTGCCAGGTACTGTAAAATGTGCAAGGTTTGCCAAAGTGTGGGAAAACCCAACCAGATGGTACCACCTTTTCCCCTTAGTCCCATTCCTGCTGTTGGTGAGCCTTTTGAGCATGTTTTAGTGGACTGTGTGGGCCCTCTACCAAAAACAAAAACCGGTAATCAATTTCTCTTGACGATAATGTGTGCTGCAACCCGATTCCCTGAAGCTGTTCCTCTTCGGAGAATCACCGCTCCAGCAATAAGTAAAGCACTCCTTAAGTTTTTCACAATATTTTGACTGCCACGAACCATACAAACCGATCAAGGCAGCAATTTTCTATCCAAACTGTTCAAACAGACATTAAAGTCTTTTGGCATCAAACATCTCACATCTAGCCCTTACCATCCCCAGTCACAGGGAGCACTGGAAAGATGGCGTCAGACTTTAAAATCGATGATTCGAAAGTACTGTTTTGAAACTGAGAAACAGTGGGATGAAGGAATACCTTTCTTATTGTTTGCAGCTCCTGAGGCGAAACAAGAGTCTCTTGGTTTCAGCCCAAATGAACTGATCTTTGGGCATAAAATACGAGGGCCATTGAAGGTACTAAAGGAAAACTTCTTGTCTTCCGGTCTCCAACCCCAAACAAATGTGCTTGACTTTGTCACCCAGTGTCATGAAAGGCTATATCGTGCTTGCTCCATAGCCAAGACATCTTTGTCCACTGCCCAACACAACATAAAGCATCTGTTTGACAAAAAGACCGAAATGCATGTTTTTCAGCCTGGTGACCAAGTAATTATGCTAGTGCCCACATCGGCCCCCTCTCTATCAGCCCAGTTCACTGGCCCATACTATGTGAAAACCAAAGTAAATGACACAGACTATATTGTTCACACTCCTGACAGGAGGCGCCAAACCCGGCTGTGTCATGTGATATGTTGAAGCCTTTTCTGTCCAGGGAAGGAGAATGCAAAGACCAAACTGGTGGTGAAACTACAAAGGCAGCTTCTGTCGCTCTGGTGTCTGTACCCCTCAACCATGATGATGGTTTAAAAATAAGTAGAGAAGGTCAACATGGTGGTCGACTTTCAAATTCAATGATACTTGCCACCCTAAATGACTACCTTTCTTATCTTTCCAGTGATGAGAAGGAGGATGTGAAAGGCCTCATTGAGGCCTACCCTACCATATTTGGAGACGTACCGTCTCGGACATCTGTGATACAGCATGACATTGATGTAGGCAGTGTGACACCGATTAAACAGCATGCGTATCGTTGCCCTCCCCTTAAAAGGGAAATAATGAAGCAAGAGGTACAATATCTCCTTGAAAATGATTTGGCTGTACAAAGCCACAGCTCGTGGAGTTCTCCATGTCTTCTGATACCTAAGCCAGATGGTTCTGTTCGCTTTTGTACAGATTATCGGAAAGTGAATGCTGTCACAACCCCAGATTCATTTCCATTACCTCACATGGAAGACTGTGTAGATAGCATTGGTGCAGCTACCTACATAACAAAACTGGACATGTTAAAAGGGTATTGGCAAGTACCTTTGACCCCTAGGGCATCAGACATTTCTGCTTTCGTAACCCCCGACCATTTTTTGCAATATAAAGTAATGGCATGTGCAATGCTCCAGCTACCTTTCAGCGACTCATGACTTCGGTATTGGGTGATGTGGAACATTGTAATATTTACTTGGTTTACATTGTAATTTATTCTTCTACTTGGAATGATCACATGAACACCCTAAGGGATGTTTTCCGCTGGCTTGACCAAGCTTCCTTAACACTGAATCTGGTAAAATGTGAGTTTGCTAAAGCTGTGGTAACATACCTGGGAAAACAAGTGGGTCATGGCCAGGTACGCCCCGTAAACGCAAAAGTGGAAGTCATCATACACTACCCTATGCCAACCACCAAACGTGAACTCCGCCGTTTTCTGGGTTTGGTTGGCTATTACAGGTGTTTTTGCCAGAACTTTTCCACAGTGGTGGCTCCTCTAACAAAGATGTGCAGCACAAAGCAACCTTTTGTGTGGGATGCTGACTGTCAACAGGCTTTTGTTTCTGCCAAGTCTCTTCTCTGTAGTGCACCTGTATTGGCAGCTCCAAACTTTGACAAAGTCTTCAAACTGGAGGTGGACGCAAGAGCTACTGGGGCTGGAGCAGTGTTGTTGCAAGAAGGGGCAGATGGCCTCAACCACCCGGTTTCCTACTTCTCAGCTAAGTTTAAGTCTTATCAGCTTAACTACTCAACCATTGAGAAGGAGACTTTAGCCATGCTCCTGGCTCTACAACAGTACGATGTTTATGTCGGTTCAACGACATATCCTGTCACAGTGTACACTGACCATAACCCTTTGTTGTTCCTCAAGCAGATGTACAATCGAAATCAAAGGTTAATGCGCTGGGCATTACTGGCCAAGGAATACAACCTGGACATCAAACATAAAAAAGGAGCAGACAATGTGATCGCCGATGCCCTTTCAAGAGTACCATGTTTATACCCTTAGCATGGTAGAACTTAATAGTGTTGTATTTTTACTGTGTAAAAATCTTTTATGGGGGATGGTGTTACGTCCATTGACCTGTAGGGGCTCTCTTGGAGTAGAGAGCTTCCTGCTTGGTGTTTGTTTGCAGGTCTGCTGCCACACCCGGGTGCCCAGCTGGGATCATTTGCTCCTCATCAATGGACCTGCATAAAAGCTCCAGCCAGCCAGCGCCCCAGCCCCTAACTCCTGGGCACAGACTGTTTTGGTGATTGTGAAGGTGTTAAAACCTGCGTAGCATAAGCTACTGTGATACCAGTAGTATTTAGTGGATACTGGTTGTATTAGAAGTTCATTCTTTCATTAGTTGGGAAGTATTTGGTAGGGGTTCTCTGCCTTTTTCTTTGATGCACCATTTTCTCCTGTTTTGTGGACAGCCAGTGTAGCCCAGGCATTGTATTTGTTTCTTTTCATTAGAGAAGGGTTGCATGTTTTTTGTTTTAGCTAAAGGGATGGTTTTGTTTGTTTTTTTGGCCTGGAGACCCTGACGTTGAACTACTTCCTTCTTCTTGTTATAGTGTTAAGAAGTTCCTGGTTGTTTTTCTTTTATTTGTATATTAAATGCCTTCTTTCAGTTTTTTGTTATTTTTTTGTGTTACACCCTAACCTCCTGGACCGCTAATTTCTCAAGGGTTGTAACAGCCTCAGTTAAGAATATTGTGTCTGTTCTCATCTTGAGACGACACTTGTCATGATTTGGCGCTTTATAAATAAACTTGAATTGAATTGAAAACTTGAATACAATTATCACCAAATCTCATACTGAAATTGGTTTGCTAAACTCCAAAGCTATGATGTAAAAGAGAATAACTACTTTTTTCACACTAAACATAGAAACTAGAAAAGCAAAGACCGTTAAAATAAACTTTCAGAGTTGAACATCAAACCAAAAGAAAGAAAGTTGAAAACAAAGACTGTTTCTCTACTTTCTCCCTGTAACACCATGATTTAGAGTGGTGACTGGCACATTGCAAAGTGAGTGACCCTTACCATCTGCCCCATTCAAGCCTCACCTTTGCCAGCATGCCTTGTCTAGCTGTCCTTTCCCTCTCTTTGCTCACTGGTGCCCACGCTTCATCAGCATCCCTCCCTAGGGTGATGGATAACTTGACCATAATTTCCAATGTCTGGAACCATTTTTTTAAACACACCACATAATATCTTCAGTGTTATTAGATCTTGCTCATTCCTCTGACTCACCCGGGCCCATCATTTTAACAATGACCACTTCCTTCTCCTGAAAACACAATGGCCGTAACACGTATAGACACTTATAGAGGCAGAGAAATTACCTAACTTGTTTCTGACTCAACCTTATATAAAACCAATTTTACTGCAAAAATGTGTCCGGAATAGACAGAACTTACAAGTTATTAGCTCCAAATGGCATCAACCTGACTAAGTCTGAAGGTTAAAACATCAGTACATTTTCATTTCATTTTAGGTACATTTTTCCTCTGCTTTCCTTTTTATCATGCTTTGACATCATTTGTACAAATTGGTATCGTGTTTCTGACAGTCCTGGAAGCACTGGCTTATATAACAAAGTTAGAATCTGCATCATCAAGCATTCTGTGTATGACGTAAAAAATTCTTCTCAAAATTACCTATGCAATTTAAATAAAAATGTTTTTCTTCCTAATCAACCAGAGCTTAGAAATGAAACCTTGTTACCTGTGTAGACTTCTGCCTCTGAAGGATCTTCTACTCGTTTATGTTGGATGACGTAGTCAGAAACTTTGCATCCAATTAGAGGCTCTACATCCAACCACTCCAGAGCCACTGTTGTGCTTGAGGGCTCAAGGTAAGGGGCAAGTCGTAAACTAATGGAACAACACAAAAAAACAAGATATGTGAAAATACAATAAGACAATATCTAGGCTAATTTCATCAACAGGTTGCAATTACTAGTTTTGAATTACGATTGGCCAAAAGCTAAAACACTCTAATAACGTGATCCTTGTAGTTGCATACTTTAATAAAATTTGCCTGTTTTTGTTAAGCCCATCTAAGTATTTTATTTTATTTATTTTTTCTGAACCCAGTGCTTCAAAACGTCATCTAAAATTTAGATTCAGATGCTGTTCTTGGTTCTCGACTTGAAAGTAAATGAACTGTTACACTATTAACTTTAGTATTTAAATATAGCAAATTCACATTATGCAGACAGCCATACTAAAGACTTGTTGAACATATTACATTTATAATATATATATAATATATAAATTAAAAAAACACACAATAAAGTCAAAATAACTATTAACCCAAATTCTATTGTTTTAATCATTGGGAAATGAGTTGACATGACAACTTTTAGAACTGAAAAAGGAAGCATTACAATAAAATTTGCCCCTTATTATCTGTAACTTTGCTCTTTTTTTTACACAGATGAGTAAAAAAAATATGTTTTTTTATTTTACATGTTTCTGCTAATGACTCTAGCAATCATCAGAGGGCAAACTGATGATGGCTAGAGTCATTAGCAAAAACACGTACAGTAAAAAAAACAATTATTTTATTAAGCTGGGTAAAAAAAGAACAAAGTTTTGGATTATGAAGTCTCACACAGAACAAATGTACTAAAGTGGCCCCTTATTAATTCAGTTATTTATCTAAAATTGGGCAAACATTTTGCATGAGACAGTACCCCATCCAAAAGAAGTTCTGTCAGAATTGTAACCCTAACCCTTTGACACTAAAATCTTGCCTTTTTAACCTACTGTTTCGTTTCAGGACATCTTACAGCAACAGATACTGAAGAGGATGAGTCACAGAGGGGGCCTCTGGAGTATTACTAAGACACCCTGATTGAGAATATGTTCTTTTCAGAAGAGTGTAGGGGCCAACTCACAGTTATTAGAATTTCTGGGACCGTGCTTGTGTCTACAACTTTCTTTAGTGCCCCAGGAATAAGCAGAGACAGATATGAGTGTAAATGTGTTTATATCCACGGGCATGCTTGGAGAAAACCTCCCTAGTATCCCTGTAGGCGTCAAGGTGGCACCTCACACTTACGTTGGCTGCTTGAGGGGACTGCAGCTAGGCAGGCCATCTTTGCTGAAGGCACTCAGGTCACAGCGACACCAGTTATCAATGACATCGCCCTTTCCAGCACACCAGTATGAGCTCATTGTGGCACTCTTGAAGGCCTGTAAAGGGTAACAGGTGAGAGAAATGCAATTATCTCTTGGAACATGTGCTCACTGTCCATCTACTCCTACCCCGTCCCCACCTACCATCCGGCTCACCTTTTACCCTTTCCACCAGTGTCATTCATACTCCCAGACTTTCCACTAAACATTTATATTTTCTTGTGACGATTCCCCATAATTAAGTTTGAGCACCGCAACATTACTGGTATCAAATTTGAAGTAGTCAAACATTCAAAACATCAAAACCAGTCTTACAAAGGTGGATATAATGCTACACAAGACACCTTCCTCTACATGCAGAATGACCTTTTAATTCCCACCTTTCCCAATTAATGAAAGGCAGGAAGATCTTGGTAGCACCAACAAGCTTACACGGTGATATCATTGGTGCACTGTGACTTTTATGATGGAGATGTGAGAGCAGTGTCACTCCACACCTCCCTCATTCTATGCGCTTGTGTGTGAGATCTGCTAGCGTTGCTGTCGGTCTGACTGTGAAGGAAATGGAGGGGGGAAGGGTAGTGAGATATTAAGAGGTGACATCATCTCCTAACATCTCCTTGTGTTACTTCATTAACAGGCGGAAGAAAGAAGAAAAGAAAATCAAAGGCAGAAACTCAGTCATCCTCTAAAAGGCAGCAAAATGCCAATATAACCGTCAAAGCAATAAAGTATAGTCAGGGCTTTCCCTAAAGCCACAAGCACGATATAGACTTCAAGAGAGTTTGCCTTCACTACTGCTCCTCCTGTCACACTATGGATCAATAGCGCTCTCGGTTATTTATATGCTCAAACTGGTTGGCAGTGCTGCCTCATGCATACTGCTCTGGAGATGTGCTTGATCATGGCCACAAGAACAGGACACAGCACTGAACCACACAGCAACATCATTGTTGGCTCTGGCCCTTCTTATACAGAGCGTCTGTGTTGTTGGACCAGTTTAGTTTACTGTTGAACACCCAGGTACTTAAAGGTATTCACCACCTCAATGTTTGCTCCCTGGATGTTTACCGGTGAGTGTGTGTGTGTGTTTTTGTGTGTGTGTGTTTGTGCGTGTGGTGGTGTTGGGGGGTGGGGTTGGTGTTGGTTCTTTGGAAGTCAGTCACCATTTCCTTTGTCTTACTGGTGTTCAAGCGAAGACGGTTATGCTCACACCAGTCAAAGTTGATGATGACTGACCTGTACAATGGCTGCGTCATCAGATAACTTCCGGAGGTGACAGCTGCTGGTGTTGTAGGTGAGGTCAAAGATGTAGAAGGTGACGAGAAAGGGAGAGAGCACCGTACCCTGTGGAGCTCCAGTATTTTACACAACCACGTCAGACATAAAGTTGTGCAGCCTCATGTACTGTGGCCAATTGGTGAGGTAGTTTATGGTCCATGCAGTCAGATGTTCGTCCACTCCTGCACCCCTCATCTTCTGCTGCAGAAGACACAGCTGGATGGTGTTGAAGGCACTTGAGAAGTCAAAGAACATGGTTCTCAGTGTTTTTTTGCATCTCGATGTGAGTCAGAGCCCGACGCTGCAGGTAGATGAGCGCGTCCTCTACCCCAGTTTGTTTTATATGCAAATTGCAGTGGGTCTATTTCCAGGCTCACCATGGAGCGTAGATGAGTGAGGATGAGTATCTCCATTGTCTTCATCAGATGGGAGGTCAAAACCATACATTCACTCTGAGTTTCACATGCAGGCTGAACATGAAAATAGTCTTCTTCCCCTACTTCTCGCAAAAGCCGCCAATAGGAAATAGATGGGGAAACACTCAGAGAGAAAAGCCAGTTACAATTGCATGTCAATTTTTCAAATTAGCATTCATGGGCTCTCCCATCTTGTCTAAAAACTGGGAGGGCTGTACTTGATTTAGTGTCCAGGACAGAGCAGAGCATGTCTCAACTAGTAGAGGCTAACCATCAGCATTAGCAATGCCACAACATGGCAGAACTCCTTCAGGTTAGGGTTAGCTGTTAGTCAATCAGAAGCAAATATCAGGAAATAATACTCTAAATCCTGCCATCTTAGCTCACCTCTCCTCTGACTCACTTCTAGTTCCTGAAACCAGAGTGCCAGAGCTTTCCCCCCAATTCTCAAGGTATTTATTTATACTAGAGACAAATGCAAATGTGTTGAAAACATAAGCAAACTTGGTATTTAAGACCTCACTATAAATCTGCAGATATCCACATTTTGGCTTTTATTTTGCATCATAGCATGATCTTAATCTTGTGTAATGAGAACTGCTCAAAAGTTAATGAAAACACACACACACACACACACACACACACACACACACACACACGTATTTATATACTTGTGTTGACCTCCATTGACTTCCATGGAGTGCATTGAGTTGCCTTTGTGTAGGTAATTTGCTATATAAATAAAGCTGTCTTCTCTTATCTTCCATTCATTTTAGTGACTCCACTATGCCTAACCCTTACCCCAACCCCAATCTTAACCAATGGGGTTCTAATCCTAACCCTAACCTAAACTAAAAGTGAGTTCACACTATATCTTTAAAACCAAGTTTAAGGATGCTTAGCAGAGATGGGGATTGTGGCTTCAACAAGTCACCTCCATGTCGTGTTTTTCTGCTCGGCAACTGAACCAGGTTCATTCACTGAGCTGATTAAAATCTCCTGGTTTTGTTGCTGAGCAGAACAAAAACACAACATGGAGATGACTTGTTGACACCACAATTTCCCATCTCTGGTGCTTAACATTGTGTGGATCAGCAAAATGTCCCCACAATGTGAAAATGCGCACACACTACAGCAGGCCTATTAAATACCAGGCCTTGACGGCCAGTATTCAGCACATTTTACTGGTTTCTCTAGTCCAACACACTAGATTCAGTGGTTGAGTCACCTGTGCAGCAGCTCATCAGGCTCTACAGAAGCCTATTAATCACCTGCTGATTGAAATCAGGTGTGCTGAAGCAAGAGTTAAAACCAAAACGTGCTCGATACCGGTCCTCCAGGCCCAGAATTGAATAGCCTTGCACTAGAGGTTAAATTCAAAATGTGTCCACTTAAACACACACACACACACACACACACACACACACACACACACACACACACACACACACACACACACACCTCTAGGATCAAAGACAAAATTCCTAAGCTAGTTGTTAAAATTTTTAATGAAGAAATGCCAAAAAAAATCATTGTTTTTTTGTTAAATACTGTGAGTGACTCAAAAGACTGAAAAGGGTCAGGGTAAGAACTCAGAAGCTGATATTAACATTTCCACAACATAGCATTGTTAGTGGTGAAGAAAGTTTAACAGTTTCATGGGAACTGACTTCACCATTGCTTTCCCTCAAGGAAAAGAACCTCAAGAGTGCAAGTGACCTAAATGAGCAGCAGAGGAAAGACTGAGGAGTAAAACAGAGGGTGAGGCTGGAGAGACCATGGAAAATAAGACAGAAAAAATTCAACACAGCAACAAAAACAAAGGTGTAAAAAGGGCTCTCTAACCCAATCTTTCCATTGAAAAATATACCATCCAATGCGAGCTCCCCGAAGTGAACCTGCTGAACGGCAGCTATTGAAAGGAGTATGAAAATAGTGTGATGCACAGATTTATTATAACCCCACGGTAAAAAAAAAAAAAAAAAAGGTCATCTAATTCTCCCCTCTTGCCTGAAACCATGTGGCTAACCGGTGCCGGAAAACAACAGCAGGAATCTTGCCACCTCATGTCAATGGGAAGCAGGCCCCAGACAAAGGCATCACAAAAATCCTGGACTTTGGGTCCATGCACGCACAAAGACTAGACAAAAATGAGAAATGACCTCCAATACAAAAAGCAAAATAAAGACAGGCCACAGGACTTCCATGTGTTTACCACCATCGGTTTCTTAGAAAAACCCCACATGGGTATGTGCGCTTGATTGCTTGGCTGCACATGTGAAAAACAGACAAAGCGATTACCGCCGTGTTTATGTTTAAAGAGTAACGTAAGCCAGTCTCCACTGGGTAAACAGGGAATCTAATTGTGGTTTAGGGACTGAGGTGGGGAGTTGTGTGGGGAGTGAATGAGGTAAAAAAAAAAAAGAGAGGAAGGTTTACAGAGAAGAAAAAAACCCAAGAAATATATAACTTGTACTTGTAAAGTGATGATGTGTCACATATCACGGTGTAACCATGGACACATTGCTTAGTGTGTGTGTGTGTGTGTGTGTGTGTGTGTGTGTGTGTGTGTGTGTGTGTGTGTGTGTGTGTGTGCGTGCGTGTGTGTGTGTGTGTGTATGCGTGTGCGTGTGTGTGTGTGTGTGTGCGTGTGCGTGTGTGTGTCTGCTCTGTCTTCTCAATCCCCAGTGAGTCGTGGAGGATGGCTGCTTATACTGAGCCAGGATCCTCTGGAGGTTTCTTCCTGTTAAAAGGGAGTTTTCCTCTCCACTGCTGCTAAATGCTTGCTTAGTATGAGGATTGCTGTAAAGTCACTGACTAGTGATGCAATTTGCTGGGTTCCTTATATAGGACACATTTTTTCTGATTGGCTTAATGAACTGACCTGAATTGGAATGTTTATTATGTGAAGTGCCTTGAGACGACTCTTGTCGTTATTTGGCGCTATATAAAAAAATTGAATTGAATTGAATATCTCGTGGAGAAAACAGCAAAACTGGTTTAAGGATGTAACAAAAAGGATATCCTTTCCTGTCTTTGTGATTACAGAAACCAGAGGTAAATCTAAATTCTGGTGAATTATGCTCCGGAGAAAGTGGTCCAGAAAGGGACGTAGTGCTTTTTGAGGCTGGTGGTGATTGTGTGGAAAGGCTGAACAGTTGGGTATTTTGTTTTCTCACATGCATAGTTTTATCACACTGCTCACTAAGTCTTTAACTTCAAATTTTTACAAAATACACACTAGTTAAATGACAACCGATAGTTGGAATATGCTACTGTAAGAGATTTGAAATGACTGAGCCAACACATTCTCTGCTTATATATAGGTGCATAGTTTTTCTAATCTAAGAGAATAGTTTT